CTTTTTTGTTTCTATTTTAAAATCGATAAGAGAAGCTAATCTCTAAGATGGTAGTTTCGCGAGAATATATACTCGATAAAGCAATTTTATTCTTTCCAAACGTCTTTAATATGTGAACTAGATCGGAAGATCGTGTATAATTTGTTACAATATTGTACCCCGCCATCTCAAAATTTATATGAGAATTATTCTTGATTTTTGCATAGAGAAAAGGTGGTGGCGCATATGGCCGGCAAAGTAGGCATGATGTCGTAATGTGAATACTAGATTAAAATGCGATTCGACAATCACAATGATACCGATACTTTCCGGTTGCAGAGTGGTAGGACTGTAGACAAGAATTGAAGATGATTAGACATCCATTTTAATATTGGTGCTCCACTTGATTGTTCTTGATTTTTTTTTTTTTTTGGGATTTTTTTGGTTAAATATTTTATCTAAAAGTTATGAGGCAATTGATTTTCGATATAACTTTTGTGTTTCATGGAGCAAAATCGATAAGGCAAAAATTGTCCACCAAGGTTCCTTGCACGGGTCAAGTCATTTCATATATGATATTTCCCTATCCCTCTTATCTAAAAAAAATAGTGGATGCAGTTCAAAATTGAAAACCTTCTCCACAGATAAGATTTTTGCCTAGAAGGATAGGATAAATGAATATGCGGGAAGACGGGAAAGATAAAATCAACAACCAGGATATATATGTTTTAGCTACACTTCTTAATAAGATTAACATATTAAGATGAATCACAAATTTTTAGATATGATATCATAGTCCATTAAATTAAATTAGCAGCCAGCGCGGTCAAAATTACAATTCTTGACAATTCAATGTTGACAATTGAATTGTCAAAAATTATAGGCTCACGTCAATGATGGAGAAGATAACTCCGCCCCATAATTGATAGGAGATCATTTCTATTTAACTATATTGAGCTTTGAGATCCAACTATCTTAAAATGACAATCTATTAAGATATGCAACACAAATTGTCATTTATTAATAATTACTAAGTGATGTGATACAACCTTAACAAATTTAGAATACAAAATTATGATTCTAATTTTAATATATAATATAATACTAACCTATTAAAGGAAAATTATTCTGGTTGTTCTAACTGCTATTGATCAACAAAAACTTAGATTTTAATCATTATGTATAGCCAAACCATATACTTAGCCCATGTTTGGTAGTGATTAAAATTTAGATTTTAATCTATATCAAAATCAATAATCAATTTTAGAACATGTTTGATACACATTATTTCTTAAGAATGCATTTTAAAATAGTAGATTGATAGAGAATACGTGGTTAAAAAATAATGAAAAATTTTGAATTTACGAGTAATATCATTTTATTGAAAAATGTGTGATTGAAAAGAAGATAGAGAAAATGAATTTTGGAAATAATGGATATCAAACAATGGCTTAATCACATATTTTATGGTCCCACAACTTTTTAACTACACATTTTATAATTTTTTGTCAAAATTTACTAAAAATTTAATTTTAATTCCCACCAAACGGGGGTTAAAAGCTTTGAGGACCCATTCTTAACCTATTCTAACCTTAATTTCTTGAAGCGTTAACAATCACTGTCTTGTACGACGTTAATGTACTCAACTAAAACCAAATAGATCAAGGGGTTGTTTGATCAAAAAATTGATAATAATTTTAACTCATTTTAATAAAAGTTAATGTAATGTGTGGTTGAAAAGTCGACAAAAGTTGTAGATTTCATAAAATATATGATGACAAGTTGAAAAGCTGATAATATTTTAACAAAATTTTATCGAACAAGCACTAATATGAATTTGCGTTATGGTCTTTCTTTACACAAAAGACAAATAGAATCAACTTGAATTTATAAACGGTAGATGAGATCGATCCACTAATCATGGATAGTCACACCCTGCTCTTATTGGCCCGCATCCGTTCGATTTTCCACGCCTAACATTCCTCTAATCTTAATAAAGCAGCTGAATTAAAATTTCAAAAATCTTGCTAACTAGTATGAATATCAAAACTCACAAACACGAATCTTGAATATGTACAAAAGTTGAGTACAAGTGCAAATCTGCCTTCACAGTGGCTTTCTTCTTTAAACAGTTAGAATAATCTTTGGACTTTGAATATTAATTAAATTACGCCACGCATTTTCTTTTGTTTTAAGTGACTCGGATGCCTTGTTTTGTTCTGCTGCGTGTATTCCATCTTCTTTTATTTCGTCATCCTCCAAAAACAAAGAATAGATATTTTATGTAAAATGGTTGTAGAATTTACTTTTTTTTCATATTCCATCAGATTCCACATGGAAGAATTCACCCCCACCCCACTCTTGCTACGATTCTCAGATCATGTATATATATACACACACTAGATATAGCTTATAGGTATTCTTAGTAAGAATTAATACAACTTCCCCTTACTGCACTTCATCACATATATCCCTCAGCTTGTAAGAATATGAAGAGTAAAATGTGTTGTGAGGGATTTTTCAAGAACTGCAAGCCTTATCTGGCTATGATCTCCCTTCAGTTTGGTTATGCAGGGATGAACATTATAACTAAGATTTCTCTTAATGGTGGGATGAGCCACTATGTGTTGGTGGTTTATCGTCACGCCATTGCAACGGCTGTCATAGCCCCATTCGCTTTCTTCTTCGAGAGGTACATACATATTGCTTGTTTAATAATATTTTACTTAGATTTTATCGACTTTTCAATCGTTCAAACTTCCATTTTAACCACATACTTCATAGACACACAATTTCTATCAACTTTTGAACTATACATTTCATAAACGTTTATCAAAATTCTGCTAAAACTTTTATCAAAAGTGTCACACAACCCCTTAATTTTTTATCAACTTCCATACGTTTAGACAATAACATGTTTGGTACACCATACTGTACAATCAGTTATCTTCAGATTCATCCAATCTAGTATAGCGAACATCATTTTGATAAATCTTAATGATCCCCTTTATTTCATATTGCAGGAAAGCTCAGCCAAAGATAACATTCCCAGTATTCATGCAGATTTTTGTTCTTGGCCTTCTTGGGTTAGTACCTTTTTTTGTTCTTCTTTTTTCTGTTTGGACAATTTGTTTTTCATCTCTTCATTTCCTTATTTAGTTTCTTTTATTTCAATTCCCTTTACGTATAGGCCTGTCATCGATCAGAACTTCTACTATGCGGGGTTGAAGTTAACCTCCCCAACGTTTTCTTGTGCAATGAGCAACATGCTTCCTGCCTTGACATTTGTCATGGCATTTATATTCAGGTTCGCACTGAATTCATCCTAAAAAACAAATTTTTAATGCAAATTTTGAAGATGAATTGATGGTATATATGAATTTTTTAAACATTAAAGGATGGAGAAAGTAGACATCAAGAAGGTTATATACCAAGCAAAAGTAGTAGGAACAATTGTAACAGTGGCTGGAGCCATGTTAATGACCTTATACAAAGGACCAATTGTTGAGATGGTTTGGTCCAAACATGTCCATCCTCGAGGATCCAGCGCCACTTCTTCTAAAGAAACCAGTGACAGGGACTGGTTTGTTGGATGCATTCTGCTCATCATTGCTACTCTTGCATGGGCATCTTTGTTCATTCTACAGGCAAGTATTTGACGATTTAGGAAGGTATAACTTAACCTTTTAGATGAGATGATTTTCTAACTAATTGATCAAATCCTTAAAACAGAAATTTGCATTGAAAACCTACGCGAATCACCAGCTCTCTCTCACCACAATGGTGTGCTTCATGGGAACCCTACAAGCTATTGCTGTTACTTTTGTAATGGAACATAAGCCTTCAGTTTGGCAAATTGGCTGGGACATGAATCTCCTTGCTGCAGCATATGCTGTAACTCTCTCTCTCTCTCTCAAATACACACATATTTTACAAACAAAATGATTTATATATTATAAATGAATCTGAATATATGCAGGGAATCGTGACGTCTAGCATTTCATACTATGTCCAAGGAATTGTGATGAAGACAAAAGGGCCAGTGTTTGCCACTGCTTTTAGCCCCTTGATGATGATTATTGTAGCTATCATGGGCTCATTTATTCTTGCAGAAAAAATCTATCTTGGAGGGTAATTTCTCTCCCTGACACACACAAGTTCGGTTTGTTAGAGTTAACTCTATCCAATTTGTCTAGTACTGCTTATTGAACTTGTCTGGAAAAATACTTTGAATCATGGACTGTTTTTCCATCAAATTATGAGAATACTAATCCAATTTTTTTGTGAATGAACAGTGTGATTGGTTCCATGATAATTGTGATTGGTCTCTACTCGGTTCTTTGGGGCAAGTACAAGGAAGAAAAGGAGAACAAGAAACTGAATGAAATTCCAGAAGTCATAAAGGATAATAATATTCAAACACAAGGAAATGGCAACATAAAAGTGGTTACTGCTGGAAATTCTGAGCCAAATGGAGATGCTGATTTCGACAAGTGCCCCTCACTTGCTATTAATTTGCCCCTCCACCAAACGAAGTCTGACACTGATTCCAAATGACTTTTTTTCCTTTTTCGGGTACTTTGAGATTTTGGGATTTTAAGAGATTTTTTTAAGTTTTATGCATGTAACGAGTAGTACTTTTATGTGCAAGAAAAGATAATGAATCTCTTTTGCCATTCGAATTGTTCCACAGCATAATATGAAAGTACAGCATCGATTTCATATCATGGCTAAGAAACAACCATCAAGATGCACCGTGACAAAAAAATGCGAGATTTAAATTATGTCGCACGAGATTAATTAACTTGTTTTTCTTTCTTTCCTTTCACAATTAACTGGTCAGAATTGAATGTGCATTGCACATTATTCTGAGATACTTAGAGTATCTCCAACAAACTCTTTAAACATGAGATGCTCTTTATTTTAAAGAGGCAACATTTAAAATCATGCTCTAAGTGACTCTTTAAATTAACATTTTAATTTAGAGAGCGGGTTTGAACTCACCCTCTATAATTAAATGCATTCAAAGTGTTTTAATTTTCAGTGTACGAAAACAATAAAATATTCTAAATAAAACTAGTTAAAATAAAATATAAACAAAAATAATAAATATTTTTTGGGAGTAGTAAAATTAAGTGTTAAATATAAAGAGTTTGTTGGAGTGCTTCAAAATTTTAACTCTCTAAATTTATAGATACTCTCCAAATGATAGAATATGTTCTTTAAAAATAGAGGATCTCTTGAAAATACTCTTATGCACCGTTTGGTAACCATTATTCTAGAAAAAAATGTATTTTTTGTGTCAAATCACACCTTTTTTGTGGTTGAAAATGAAGGAAAAGTTATTGATGTGATGGAAAATATTATTTTATTGATGAATGTGTGGTTGAAAATTAGTAGAAGAATGAGAATGAAAAAAAGAATGGTTACCAAACGGTGCCTTAATAAGTACTGTAAAATTAATATTTTATACTAATTTGTTTGGAGGATTTGACGAATCTCAAACAAACTAAAAAAATAAAATTTAGGATAGCAATTTAAGAGAGGAAAATTGTACTCTCAAAACTCAATTTCTTCGATTCAAATTTTTTTGTGATGATGAAATACTACAAATATACAATATTTTTATATTACATTTGGTACATAAGAATTAATTGCTAACATGTGAATTTAAATGCACATTAAAATTTCTAGATACATGAATAGAAATAAATTCATCTATAATAACTATAAATTCATCAAATCTAGATTCATTAAATTTAGGTTAATGTGAAGGGAAATTATATTTGTACGCGGGGGGGGGGGGGTTGTCAACCCCCCGGTAATTGTAGCAAAGCCCAAATGTGAACGTTAATTAATTGATAATTAATAACAAGAAATTCATATATGGCAAGAATTTTTTAGTATTTATTACATATTGAAAATCGGAAAATAAGGCATTATTGAAATAATTGAATTGTAGTAGGGTTTAAATCGTCCAAAAATGATTCTCATTTGATGTGATATTTAATATATTATAGATTATGCTCGTTCTGGTATTGGCCAAGTTTGTTGTAATGTCTTCATGCATTGAAGATCAAACTCTATGTCCGTTCTAAATTTCCAATTGAGTACTCGATTCACTGTACATTATAACCAACAATCACGATACATATTCCTTCTTTAATTATGCGTATCTTAACATACTAGATCGACCTAACATACTTAATATACCGAACCAGCACATCGAACAAGATATTATTGATTTCCATAACATGTCAATTTTCAAATATATTATTCTCTTCAATTAGTTGACAAAACTCTGGGAATTAACATGATTCTTATTCTTGGATTCCATAATCTTTTATTCCTTTTCATCCCTTGAGCAGTGGATTCTACTACTGTCCAATTCAAAGGTGATTGAATCCATTTCATCATATTATTATTATACTCGTTACTCAATTAATTTTCTTTATTTGAAAAAAATAGCAATCAAACACTTCAAACTGAGAATTTAGGTAATGAAAAATAAATACAATCAAACACACCATCGGTATCACAAATTTGCAGATGGTGGTAGAGTCATTTTATAGGGGAAATTTTCAAAATACACCATTTATAAAGAGTATAATTACACTTACATACCATGTTTGGTAAAAGTTATGGTCCGTTTGATTCAAAGATGAAATTTGGGTGGAAAGAAAACGAATTGCAGGAAATTGAATTGCCTAGAATTTTTTGTTATTGGGAATTGTCAGTTAATTGTGTTTGATTGGTATAATTTTTCATCTAGAAAATGTTGAAAATTTTTATCTTTTGCTGTTCGTTTGACTTTGTTTTTCATAAAAATTGTCAATTAAAGGAATAAAATTCTTACAATCGGGGATATAATTTGTTTGGATTGCCAAAAAGGGGAAAAATTTTGGTCTTCGTTTGGTTTTATTTTACACGGAAATTGTCAATTAAAGGGATAATTTTATTTACAATTGGGGATAGAGTTTGTTTCTATTGCTAAAAAAAAACCTAAAAGAGGGGAATTTCAATTCAATTAAAACCAAGTAAACTAGCAAATGTGGAAAAGCAATTTGAGAAAATTTGGCTTTTGTTTGTCTTTATTTTACATGGAAATTGTCAATTAAAGGGATATTTTTTATTTTTTATTTTTTATACATTGATAACCAAAAACCACCTAAAAGGTGGGAATTGAAATTCAACTAAAACCAAGAAAAGGGATCACGTGATGGCAAATGTAGAAAACCAATAGTTGGGAAAAAAAGTGCCATCAAATATGATAAAAGTGGGAAATGGAATTTTAATTCCATTTTCCATTGAAAAAAAGGCCTATCAAATAGGCCCTTAATATAAATTGATATGTAAAGTGTTACATAATATTATATAAAATGTGTGATTTGTTATTTTTTATTATTGGTATTTTGGTCTATTAACTATTTTTAGATATATTTGTAATTTTGTTAGCAAAAAGTTGTTTTTTGTTGCACACTGAAAAATTTTAAATTTAGAAAGTTCGATGTGTAAATTATAAATATATCCTATATAGAGGGAGCAATTTGTAAATTTTCCTTCATATATATATACACACTCTTATATATTCATGTTAACTAAAACTAAATAATATTTCATAATATATTATGGTTATAACTTGTACACCTTAATATCACGGACGTGCCTCAAGTGGTGGAGCCAGAATTTTTGTTTTGTGGGAAGTATGCTAAGGAGAAAAATTATTGTGAAACTACACAGCAACAATAATTAAAATATTTTGATACATTACTATAGTCAAAATCTCATATAGTTACATCTAGGGTGGGTATGGATCAAGTTGGGTCGAGCCCGAAATCGATATAGGCCAAATTGTTGGAGACTTAGAGAGGAGATGGAAGACGGTGAACAAGAACTTCAACGGCGGAATAGCTTTGAAACATCGAGAGGAAGACAGAGAAGAAATTAGGATAGATTTTGATTTTTCTTTTTTTTTTTTTTTTTCTAATTTTGATTTTGGGTTTAAAAGTTAAAAATTGTTCAACGTTGATTTTATTACGAATTTCTCTTTATTTAATATGGACCATTCTTTCATCTATAAATATTTTGCTCTTTACTAGAAAATTGAGGTCTATGTTCAAAATATCACTTTATATTTGAGACAATAAAAATATCTCAAACTTGTTCCAAAATAAGCAATCCAATTGGCAATTAACTAGTCTTAAAATAGATAAGGCTATAAATAATCAACAATAAAGTTACTTTTTAAAATTTAAATAAAATTTCAACCTTTTTTTTGGAGAATCAACTTCAAGCCATAAGTTTTAGTTTTGTAGGATCGTTAATCTCCAACGAAATTGTTCTCCTACCCACAATGGATATGATAAGACTGTCAACTTACTATTATTGTAGAAGAACCTTATTCACGATTCTCTCCAAATGTGAGAATCGTAAGTAATGTGCTCTTCAAATGGGTAATATAAGATTTCTCACTGTGGATGGGAAAATAAATTTGTAATCCCCAATTACAGATTATGTTAGTTGAAGTGTTGAGTAGTCAATTTTCTTATTAAAAGTAAAAAGAGAAGACGGCCCTCAATTTTTTTTAGAACAAATAAAAAATAAAGTAAAAATTTAAGTTAAACAACTAAAGAGACAGAGAATTTCCACAGGCTAAGGGGTATCATGTAAAGAATGAGAAGCATAAAGAAGCCGAGGAAAGAGAATGAGAAGATGAGTAGAGAGAATTGTTCTTTGCCATAGTTTCCTTGAGGAGCTGATCGATGGGTTTGTGGTCAGTCCAATCAGTAGTTGTAGGCAGAGGTATAAAGCAAAATTTATTGGGAAATTATCCTTCAAATTCATTACATCATGTCACTTTTTAATATAAAACGAAGTTTGAATTCGTATTCATATTTAAATTTTCAAAAACACACATGTATGTATCTATTTAATTGCTCCAAATGAATTCGAATGAAATAGACTACGACCTTTTTCAAATAAAAGAACATAAAACGTCACTTTTCACGTTCTCATTTTCACAAATACCTTGAACGCATCACTTAATTGAATTTAATATATATTCAATCCAATCCAATCCAATCCAATCCAATTCATACAAATATGAATTTAATATATACTAACTCAAATTATTAAGCTAGAGATGAAATTTCATGTGTACTAGAAAAAAAAACCTCAACAACATCAAAATTGAACAAAATATGAATTAATTGAGTTAAAAATCCTAAACATAAAAATCTTAAATTTTTGATTGATTAGTTGCATATTTGGGGAAGAAAAGGTAGTTAAAGCAACCCTTGATCTTGTTTGGGCTTGATTTTTGCAAGATTTTCTCTTATGATTTCAATCTTGCTTGATTTGGACCTTGGAAGATTTCGGTATTTTGGAGCCCTCGCCCTTTTTTCAATCGATTGTTTCAGCGTATTTCTTACAGTTAACTTGCGGTGAAATTGTATTGTTTATATTTTAGTCCATGTTCAAAAAAAAAAAAGTAATAGAGCTAGGGGTGTCCAAAAGTTTTGAACCGAATCGAGCGGTTCTTCATAAGTTAAATAACC